CTGCTAACCGTGTGATGTTTCTGATTTGGGTTATGTGTGCAGCCCCCTAAGCAGTCTTTTTTTATTCACAGATGTCAGATCCCAAGTGTTGAAAATATATTTAGCTCTGTGGTTGTGGAGTTGTTATTTGGTTGGATTTAATGCTGATAATTTTTTTTCTCTGGGAGTGAATTGTATGCCCAAATGAGGTGAATAAATTCTGGCAAAGTGTGTACCTTATTCTGGTTGCACGTTTAAATCCTTAATTTGCAACCCTGTTGCACTGGCAGTCAGCATTAGACAAAGCCCCAGTAGAAGCTTGCCAGATCAGATTCCCTCCCGCCCTCCCTCCCAGTAGACAGAAGTAAACAAATCTGTTAACAACCATCTGAGGTGGCAGGGGCCCTGAGGAGAATCTGGCCCTAGGGTGCCCTTAAACCATGGAAGATATTTGGAGAGCTCCTCTGCTTGCCCCTGAACGTAACCGCTATCAAATTATGATATTCAGCTCACTTTCTCTATCTTGAATTTCCCACCCTCACAAATCCTCAAAGTCTTGAGACTCTTTGTGGTAATGTCTTCCCACAGATATGAAATGCAAACAAAAGTGGGAATACAAATCCTCCCTTGGAAAAGGTCATCGCTATCCCACCCCACACCCCACACCCCTGCCCCTTGCATCCTCACCCACCCAACAGGTTCCTGTGGTGCTGGTATTCTTGAGCCCTGAACTACCTCCTCCTTGGGAATCCCCAGGGCCTCCTGTAGTACCTGGCACCATTAACTCACTGTGCATGAAAGTGTGTCCGAAGAACCAATCAATTCATCTGGTGTCTTTGTTTCCCTCAGGAGGACTGGAATGAAATCGATCCTATAAAAAAGAAAGACAATCTTCATGGCAACGGGGAAGATAAAGCACAAAGCATGGAGACTCTGCCTCCAGGTATTACAACAGGCCGCTGAGCCTCCACCGGCCCATGCGGCTGGGGAGCTGGGAGGTGACTTTGTTCTTGTGAATGTGGCAGTGGGAGCAAGTGGCTTGTGGGGTGCATTGTGTGTTTCACAGGTGAGCTGGAGTCCTTGCCCATGAACAGTGCTTTAGGGGCTTTGGGGCTTAGCCCCAAATCATGAAGTAAGTTTCGTGGGAAGTGATCAAAATGCAGGGAAAAGGGAAAAAAGAGGGTAAGTGAAAAGTAATGTTACTGCAGTTCTGTGATGCAATGGCTTATTTTGAACAGAATGCAGTCCAACATGTCTCTGATCACTGGACTCACTGCTATGTCTGATTTGGGTTCTGTTTGAATCTGTGGCTTCTGACTGATAGTGCAACTCTATGGGATGGAGTATAACTCCCACATGGATTTCTGAGGCTTTTGTGTAAATCTTTACAGCAGCGGCAAGCCTCATCTTTCTCCTTTGGAACAACTGGTGAGTTTGAACTGTTGGCCTTGTATAACCCATTACACCATGAGGGCGCCTTATTGTAAAATTCTCTTAGTAATATACTTGTATTGTTAAGATGCTTAAGAGGGTCCAGTCAAAACAGTGGCTTCTGAATGGCTCTGCTTGGTGAGTTCAGTTCATCCCAGAGAGGTCAGCTCAGAAGGTTTTGTTGACTTTTTGGGGAAATCCAAAGGAATGATCGTACTAGATTTTCTCAAAGGATACAGGATGATCACAAGGACTTATGAAGAAGTTTTAATAAACTGCACAGATAAGAAAAAGACCAGGAAAGTTGCACTAAGGAAACACCCACACACACACACACACAGATGCACACATATGGCAATGCACTTGCTCATTCTTTGAGGGTAGCAAGGGCTCTCCTGGGAGATTTCATGGGGAAAACTTACCCCCATTCATCCTGCAGCCCTGACCTCGCCCCTTCAGACTTCTTTTTGTTCCCCAAACTCAAAGACCATTTCAGAGGAACATGATTTGAGTTCCTCAAATCATTTTGATGTGGTATACATTGAAGAGCACAGAATTCTCTTGGGGAAGAGTTAGGGGTATGAGCATGCTATTTCCAGAATTCTATAGACCTAGCTTTACATTTTCATATTTTTGTTTATTGAAGTTTCTGTGATGTTTTAGCCATACGTTTTAACTCACCCCTTGTACAATAGAATAGACCATATAGGAGTTAAGAGTCTTGATGGAGCTTGAACAGGGTTAAGCTGCTTGGTTGCTAACCACTAAGCCTGTGCTTAAATCCCACCATCCGCCCCATGGAAAAGATCTGATGATCTGTGCCTATAAAGAGTACGGCCTAGGAAACTCTACTGGGCAGTTCTCCTCTGTCCTGCAGAGACTGCAGAGTCCCTGTGAGTCAGATTCAACTTGATGACACACAGCAACAACATGCCTTGCTTGGTCCATGAAATTCTTGTTTGGGTGGTAAGAGAGTGTTTTATATTGTACCAGGCCATGGAGTGCTTCTTTCTCTGGTTTAGCAAACTCTGCCCTGGGAAGGCAGGCTCCTCCAATATTTATACCACCATCATCCCAGTCCAGTTGGGCAGGTGATGTGTCATTGCTTTCTGGGGCTGTGTGTATGTATGTGTATTAGGTGCACATACTGAGTCTATTCCCTCCATCTTTGCTCTGCTCCTGCATGAGTCATGAGGTCCTGAGCCACAGTTCTTACATATGTAAAACAGGCATTACTTACAGAGTGGATGCATCAGAATAGGAGAGTCAGCTTATAAATGCTTCTTTATTACAGTAATAGAAAACTAGGATATCATTCTGTCTGAATTAATGAGAGACTTCCCACAGAGTGGCTTCTATTAAAAGACCCAGTGTTTTAAGGGGCTTTAAGATGTTTAGAGAGAGGAGGGAGAAAGGAAGGAAGAAACCATCTTGAGGGAGTATACAGAACATGACCATGAAGCGCTGCATCCTATTTAAAAGTGATTCCATGTGTTTGTTAACCATTGGCTTTCATATTCTCAGTTGTTGTGATATTGGCTTTCTTAGTTTCAAAGAGATAAAGTAGTACTAGTTTCCCTCCGATTTGAGTTAATACAGTATTTTTTTAATAAACACAGTCACTTTTTAGGAACATTTTATTTTAGTTCCGGTGGAAGAGTACGAAGCAATTCAGTGTCTCGTTGTACATTTGGTTTTCTGATTTATTTGAAATCCCCTGAAGGTAATAGTATTCTTCCCATTTCCTCCCTGGTTTTCTGGTTTTTCACTTGTTCCTCTTTTCTGCCTGGTCTTGCTTTCTGGACTTTTTTGGGCAAATGCTGTATTTTTGGTCTAGTGTTGGGTTGGTTGTGTGATTGTTGTAATGAGCACCTTTTTTATGGGTGTTAGTTAGTGTTTGCCTGAAAGGAGATCTCTGACAGTGGGTTCTTTCCAGGTTTGAAGTGTGTCTACGGGTCTTAGACTCAGTCTTTTTCACCAGTCTCTGTCACATCAGTAACGGTGGTCTTTTTTTGGTTGTCTTTTTTAATGATTGGGATGTATTTCTTTGTTTTCCTCCTACTGCATCCAGGGATTTCTCTTGTGATCTTGATCAGAGTGGTTGGTAAGTGGTAACTGGGGACCACCTCATTCTTTTGGTTTCAGGTCATATGGTTTGTATGGCCATTTGGGTTAACTGTCTCCTTGAGTCTTCAGTTTTCTTCACTCCTCTTTGCTCCAGATATAAAGAAAGACAATAGTCGCAGTCTTTTAAAGACACCCGTTGCTAATCTCTAAAGCAGAATGCAGAACATTGTTTTTCTGGACTGGATTGTGCCAGTTGACCCAGGTGAGTCCCCAGACTCTGCTGCTGCTCTCTCAAGTCCAGTGATTCAAGTTGGCATAACTTTGTCCCTTGTATACCCTAATACCAAGAAAAAATAACAAAACTCACTGCCATCAAGTTGATTTTTAACTCCGAGTGACCCTATAGGATACATAGAATGGCTCCTTAAGATTTCTGAGACTGGAAATCTTTACAGGAGGGACAGCCTCATCTTTGATCCTTGCAGGTATTAATCCAAATGCTTAAACTAATGAACCACCAGGGTTCCTGGTACTTTGCTGTATGCTCTGAATATATTGCAGCACATGAAAATATGTAGATAGAAATGTCTACTGCTAAGCCCATATATAAGAGCCCTGGTGGCGTAGTGGTTATGCTTTGGGCTGTGATCCATATGATCAGCAGCTCGAAATCACCAGCAGCTCCACTGGAGAAAGACTAGACTTTCTACTCCTGTAAACAGTTACAGTCTCAGAAACCCACAGAGGGAGGTCTCTGTGAGTCAGCCTTGACTCAATAGCAGTGAGAGTTTAAACCTCTATATGCTCATGGGTATATGCCCATATACGATCCCATACCTGTTCATTTTTCCTATCTACCTCTGAGTCCATTTGTATTGATTGATGTTAATGTGATTTCAGGATTTTTTTTGTGTCTAATAGTATTTATTGTTCTTGCCTTTCGCTCTTCTTATGTACCTACTAGTGTCTTCCTTAGCTACCTCCACACACACACACACACACACCCCAATCTTTATATTGACTTCCCCATTACTCAAGTGAGTATGATCTACTCTCTAGGTAATGTACTCATTTTATTTTGCATCTCTCTGATTGAAATTTATTTCTTACTATGCTAGCATACATGACACTTTTTAGAAGTTCTTTTCTTATAATTAAACAAGCAAACAAAAAATCCCCAAAGATGGTGAATCTGGCTAGAAGTGTTCAGTCTGTAGGGAATCACTGGCCACTGCGGTTTCCCCTTGTATGAGTGAATTATTAGGGAACCTGGGTGGCTTGCTGTTGGATACCTGGCAGGTATAGAAAGCTGCGTAGGAGAGCATAGCACTTACCTGAAGATAGCCTCGTGTCTTTCTGCCTGGCTAGCAAAATCCAGTGGCAGATGAAGAAGGGCACACTTTTTCATTTGGAGCCAGATATAAGGTACCTGTAATGTCTGAGATTTTTCTTATCATACTCCCTTTGAGCAAAAGTACTTTGAGCATGGATCATTGCCCCCACAAATGTATTAAAGTATTCACTTATAAATTATATGCATATTGCTATATTAATTGGATGGTAAAGCATATTTAAAATAAGATATAGAGAATGAGTGAAAATCCTTGGAAATGCTTTCTGCTTTCTTCCTGTGCCCTAGTAAATTGTTGCATACGCCCCACATTGGAGATAACTGGTCTTGGATCGCCCATGGATACAGAAGCCCAGGTTATTACTTCAGCTTTATCTCTAGCCTCAGCCCCACTACTTCTGGAGAGAATCTGGAATTTCAGTGGCAGTTTCAAGTGGCACCAAAATATCAGTTCCAACTGGGATGCATGGAGACTTAGTTTTGTCAGTCTGGCTCCCATTTAGAAGTTAAACCTTCCATGACCAGAAGTAAATAAATGGAGGCCGAAGAACATCAGCCTCTTCCTAAGCCAGAGACCAAGCTCTGCACTTAGCTGGAGCTTAGCTTAGAAGAACTAAGGGAGGAGTGTGCCGGAGTGAAACTGCAAGGGGACAACCATCCTCTGCAGGTTTAGGACAGGTTCTTCATTAGAAACCAAGTACATAAAGTAAATCTCCAGAGCTGGGATGAAAGGGATGCTCCATATCAGTGTTCGATCTTCCTGATTTGGGACCTGTCCCTGCTAGGAGAGACCAGGCTGAATTCCTCTTGACATCACTCCTCTAAGTCTGGCCATAAGCTCTGGCGCAGCAGTCCCTTGTTGTTGTTGTTCTGGTTGTTGTTAGATGCTGTCAAGTGCTTCCAACCCATAGTGCCCTATGCACAGCAACAGGAAGCACTTACTGGTCTTACACCACCCTCACAGTTGCTGATATGTTTGACCCCATTGTTGTGTCTATCTATTTCTGAGGGTCTTCTTTTTCTCCCGATCCTCTGCTTTATCAAACATGATGTCTTTCCAGGGTCTGGTCCCTCCTGATGACATATCCAAAGTA